TCAAGTGAAGATTCTGCAAGCTACCTGTGAAGACCTGTGAATCCTTGTAATCGAAGTAGATAACTCGCATCATCCCGCGGCTTCGCAGGAGTCTAGCCTCACCAAAACGAGACCTGTTAATGAGTTTGGAAAACGAGCTAGCGAAAATGCAAAATGCACATCCCAAGCCGAGCACCGAATTCCGTTCCCCGGTTCTAGGTGACGTCCTTACTTTACAACTGCTACGTTCAATTGTGGTGATTTCACCACCGGGCTCGTCGTCATCATTAGTCACCTTTCGACTTCAGTCGCTTGGTTAAGAAAGATCAAGGCCATAATTTGCACCATTGGTTTATCTTCGCAAACCTACACACTTTTCATGCGTTTTCAAGCGCGTCGATCCAACACAATTAGCCGCTGAGAGATCTCTAACAGTTTCGCTTGGTTAGTCGCTAGAATTCCGTTCGGTCGGGAGGGGGATCTAATATCTGATTCATCTTATCTCCTTCCCAGGAGTAGTTATCCAGGTGTTTGTAAATTACGTTCGCTCTTTCATCGAATAACACGCCATTTGTGATTTCAAGAATTGCCCTTTCCAGAGTTTTCAATGAGCAAAGAGGGAAATCCGCGTAGGGATTCGTCACAAGGACAAACACCTAGAACCTATGAAAACAAGAGCCAGAGTCAGTCGTCCAAAGGTTAGTATCGAGTTGTGGTGTCTTCGGACCCACTTTTGTGTATTTTTTCTATCGGAATCATCATTTAGTGTTATTAGAACCACGTACGAGTGCATCTCCTCGCACTACTCCGACTGATGTGAAGCAACAGCCTCAAGCAGGAGGTATGTTGGTCGTGGAAATTTTCGGCAGTGCTTGCCTATAACTAACTCATTACTAACAGTTCAAGATGACCATTCCTATAACTAACTCATTGCTAAGAGTCCAAAATGATATCTTTTTGGGCGCAGTCCGGCAAGGGGGGGGGGGTGGGAGTGCATCTTGCGCTTTGGCTGCTTCGTGTTGACGTGTACATTGCTTTACAAGAGTTGACAAGTAGTTCCTATGAAATTTGAGTGGTAGCATTCCATGATTTCATAAGGAAATCTCTGCTTGATGGCTCGGCTTTTTAATGGGAAGCAGCGAAAGTCAAAATGTCTCCTCCTAGCCCAACTGCACCTTTTTTGTTTGGATTTCGGTCGCAGTGCTTGCTCTTTTCTCATTACGGGAATGATTTTTCTTTTGGCACCACCACCTTTTTCCCGTCCTAACAACTAATTCTGCATGCATCAAGGGTGCCGTGAGATTTTTTCCTAAATTCGTATGAAACCTGAGTTTTATTGGGAATACTGATCGCGAGTACTGCATGAGTTATTCGCTGTAGACCTCATTTGCGTTTTGGTAGGGCTGAATCTTGGTGGAAGGCGGGGGAGGGGGTGTTCCAGGGGACGTCGTGCGCTGGAGAATCCCAGTGGAGAGGTGTTTGGTCGGTGGAGGAGGAGAGCTCGTATTTATCCAGACAGTTTTTTCGTCATTTGATTGTTACCTGTTTTATGCGCGCTTCTACATCGTTGAGGGAACTCTGGGGGATGGATTGTATTTCCTTGTCATTGGAAGAGAGTGGGAATCGTTTTTTGCCTTCGAGAGAAATTTTCCTAGTTGCGAAAAAAAATTCCTGTTCTTGACTTTTTATGGTCTTCCTCGTTTCTAATATGCTATATGCCCATGCTCCTTGCGCCTCGAAGGCAGTTTTTTTTGAGCAAAGAAAATATAAAATCTTTGGACGTCCTGAAAAGGTGGTAGTGAGTTGGGAAATGTCGGTAAGATGGTAGTTGTGATGGCGGCGGAACAGGGAGATTGTACCAGAAGAGAAAATTCGACGGTCGTATTTAGAAAATGAGCGCTGTACCAGAAGAGAAAATTCGACGGTCGTATTTTAGAAAAATGGAGCGCCCTGATGGGCCCTTAAAAGGCTTAGCTTCAGCGAAATTGACAAGAGCGTCCTAAACTAGCATCAGCAATGACACCAATCTGGTACCCAGGGGTGCCACCGCCGATGATGAACGTCATATTTTCCGTTGAGGATGCTAAATAACACCTCATGTGCAGGTTGCTATCGGTTTTGTCAAAAAAATTGTCGCGGGAACAAATTCGCACCTTTCGATGCCATATGGTGCCGGCATTGAAACTAAATGTCATACTTTTTATCGGGACCGTGGATCCTTCTACTGAATGCAAGTTTGTAACAAAATTGGTGTAGAAGGGCCCGAGCCGCCGATACTGCCAAATATTCTCAATCGCAAGTACATTCTCAATTCATGGCGCTGGAGCCATGGTTGTATTCGTAATCATGACAACACTATGCAGCTTTATATTAGGTTGCAAAGAAAGAAACGATACATTTGAGATAAATTTCTTAGGCTATCACATTAAAATGGAGGTCTCGAAGACCTCTAATTCCTTTTCGGCGTTGTTAGCTCTTTTAAAATCTGTGTGCGAGATCTGGAAAGTGGCTGGGGCACGATGGTCCCTCCGTACGTCGTCAGCTCTTTTTTCGTCGTTCTTGCAGTGTTTAGTCTGGCGCTGTCAGCTGGAAGTAAAAATTGGTCTGGCACAGGGGGGGGGGGCATTTTGCACTTTTGCTACTTCCCATCGACGTGTCGACCTATCTAGACAGCCTCTTCTCGAGTTGACAGGTTTTACCATGATGGCTTGACGACTTGCTCCAGCTTCACAAGAGTTCACAGGTTTTGCAGGGTGAGACTTGTAAACCGAAATTAGGGAGCGATGGTGTATAAAATGTCCCCCTCCCTCCCCTCCCCCCGTCGCCGAACTGCGCCCATTGATCTGTTGCCATGAGTAGTTTCAGGATGAGTCTTGGCAGCTAAGTTGTGGCCTGGCAGGTCTCAGGAGTTGCTAGGCGATCCCATCGTACTGTAGGGATCATTAGGGTTGAGGCCAGACAGGTGCAGGAACAGCATGACATGGTGAAAGTGGTGTTTACATGGTACGAATTGCAAATGCATTTAAAAAGACATTTCCTACTTTTTTGTAGGCACTCGATGCAGTTTTGTAGCTGGTTTCCTCTCCTATAGATTGAGTACCCACTTGCCCCAATAATACGCGAAAATGCTATAAAAAATCGAGTGCCCATGTATCATTTTTCTTCCCAACCTAATTCTGGTTTTGGTCGAAAAGTTGGTGATGCTGGGTTGGCGCCGATGGAACGAATGTCCTGTTCGAATCAGAGTATTGAATAGCATCCCTCCTCTTACAAAAAAAAGAAGAGACATTAGTAAAGGTTGATTAGTTCTACACTGTTGTTCTTATATTCATGACCACATGTCCTTGCTTGTGTGCTCGGAAGAGCTTGACAGACAGTCTTCAGCTTTCTTCTTTTTCAGCAGCGGCTAGACGTGCTGATGGTTTACGAGGATGGAACCAGGAGTTCAACAACAACTACAGACCAGAGGGCAAGGTTTGGTTTTTTTTAAATTCTCATGCATGATAGTTAGCCTTTACACAGATTTTTTTTGCGGTTTGTTTTATTGGCTCATCTCCTCAAGTTCTCTTCGGCCGATGAATTCTTTTGGGCCCAAAGTTTCACCCATTTATAAATGCCGGTGGTTGGCACTGCGGACTTACAAGCATGGCTTCACACCGA